AGAAATTTCCCGCGAAAAGTAATCGGTTTCCCGCGAAAAATAGTCGATTCCCGCCTGACCTAACCGACGATTTTGCTAATGACTTTGGGGAGAGGGTACCGCAGGTATATAAGGACCCGCTGATGTCCCGCGAATTTATTCACCCTTTATACTGGGCCATAGACACTTCGCGGCGTATTTTGACCTGAAGGTTCTGAGATGTGAATAGAGTGGTCGGGGGCTACTAGCTAGCCTATGTCCACCCTGTACACACTCAGCCTTCTTGTAACACTTGTATACATTAGAATCAATTAGAATTTCTATTACTAATTATTAAACAAATTTTAACAATTACCGGCACACGCTAGGCACGTAATATCAGACTTTAAATACTCGACTTCGAACTTCGGTTTAGTCATAATTCTATTAATGTTATAATAACGTATAATTTATTAATTTTCACAATTTTATTATTAATTTATACTTCCAAAAATTTGTTAAAACATTACATATTATTATTTATACATTTTTGCAAGTTTCTTTGACAAATAAGTACGTTTCAACGATCTTATTACTTTCTCGTTGTGAAATCAAGTTCGGAGGATTAAAAATCAGGTTGACCCTTGGTCGTAAATTTAAAATAGCCATAGTGAAGGTGAAATTATTATTTTAAATAAATGTTTCTATACGAATTAAGAATCTATTCAACGTTTGTTTGTTGCAATACCGTGAAATAAATTGTATTATATATTTTCTCAGTTTAGACTGAATTTAAAGTTCGTAAGGATTAGAAATCAGGTTGACCTGTGGTCGTAGATTAAAAATAGCCATAGTGAAGGTAAAATTATTACGTTAAATAATTGTTTTTATACGAATTAAATATTGATTCAACGTTTATTTGTTGCAATACCGTGAAATAAATTGTATTATATATTTTTTCTGTTTACACTAAATTTAAAGTTCTGTTTACATGTTATAACAATTAGAATGTAGACGTTTTGCCGTTTCACGGTTTTTCCTCTGTTAATTATGTGTTTATAAATCATTTCAAACTAAAGCAGCACCATGCCCACCCTTAATTAAACCGTCTCAGTAGTTTACCGTAATTAATAATCTATTTTCGGAATTTATACGAGAATTTTTGAATTTTAGTAAATACTAGAGTCAGTGTCCACCCTGTACACACTCAGCCTTCTTGTAACACTTGTATACATTAGAATCAATTAGAATTTCAATACAATAGACTGAATAATAATTCATTTTAACTAATACCTATTAGAAATTTTCCTTTTAAAACAAATATAAATCATTTTACCAATTACTGGTACTTGCTAGACATTTAATATCAGACTTTAAATATTCTCCTTTCGGTTCTTTTAAATACAATCAAATAATTTCTTCAATTATCGATACTGACTTGGAATACTCCGCTTCGAATAAAATATTTCGAAATTATTTTGAAGGTTTAGGGAAATAAACATTTGAATTTTAGTCATCGTTGTTCTTCAGACTTGTCGAATAGGATATTGAAATTACTTTGAGAGGTTGCTTTTTCGTAATAGCAATTGAATAGCAATTGAAATTTTCCTTTCAGTATCCTTGTGGAACTTGTAACGAATGCTGCTCCTAATTCTTAACACTTGCTGTAAAATTATTAGTTTTTGCATTTTAACAAAGTGAATTAATATTCCTAATTCTTATAAAATTATTAATAAACGTGAAATATTCTTGTAACGGTAATCTTATGAGAAATACTCGTATAATTAATTCTGAAATTTTTGCTTACATGTTATAACAATTGTAACGTTTACGTTTTGCTGTTTCGCAGTGTTTTCTCTGTGAATTCTATGTTTCGAATTTATTTCAAGCTAAAGTAACGTCTGTGTACTGCAGTTCAACCTAATTTACTTAAATTCGAATTACGATACAGTATATTTACAATTCTACCTGAATTTTCGAAATTATAAACATCACCAGTAAACTTCCATTGCATGTAAACAATATTCTCCACTAATCGGTAATTATAAAGTAATTATAAAGCAATTATAAAGTAATTACCGAAAAATATACACTTACATTCTCATGTTGGATCATTTACCTCTCTTCTTCTCGTCTGTTCACACATTCTCTCTAACTCTCCCAATTTCGTTATCCAATCGTTCCTATTTACTCTCATTTTCAAATTTCACACGTTATTCGCTATTATCCTCCCTTAACAAACCAACAAATCCCAGCACAATTAAAACAAAAATAATACACTACCAGCTTTTAAAACAAATATAAATCATTTTACCAATTACTGGTACTTGCTAGACATTTAATATCAGACTTTAAATATTCTCCTTTCGGTTCTTTTAAATACAATCAAATAATTTCTTCAATTATCGATACTGACTTGGAATACTCCGCTTCGAATAAAATATTTCGAAATTATTTTGAAGGTTTAGGGAAATAAACATTTGAATTTTAGTCATCGTTGTTCTTCAGACTTGTCGAATAGGATATTGAAATGACTTTGAGAGGTTGCCTTTTCGTTACTTTTCTTCCAGCAATTGAAATTAATTTGAAATTTTTCATATATTTTCTCTGATATTGAATTTTGTTTACTAATAATTTACCATCCAAGGAATTTGCATGAATTGCATGTTAAGTAGTTAGTTGATTTATTATTGTATATTGTGAGCTGATTTGGAACGAGTGCACTATGCCCACCCTAAATTAAACCGTCTCAGTAGTTTACCGTAATTAATAATCTATTTTCGGAATTTATACGAGAATTTTTGAATTTTAGTAAATACTAGAGTCAGTGTCCACCCTGTACACACTCAGCCTTCTTGTAACACTTGTATACATTAGAATCAATTAGAATTTCAATACAATAGACTGAATAACAATTCATTTTAACTAATACCTATTAGAAATTTTCCTTTTAAAACAAATATAAATCATTTTACCAATTACTGGTACTTGCTAGACATTTAATATCAGACTTTAAATATTCTCCTTTCGGTTCTTTTAAATACAATCAAATAATTTCTTCAATTATCGATACTGACTTGGAATACTCCGCTTCGAATAAAATATTTCGAAATTATTTTGAAGGTTTCGGGAAATAAACATTTGAATTTTAGTCATCGTTGTTCTTCAGACTTGTCGAATAGGATATTGAAGTGACTTTGAGAGGTTCCTTTTTCGTTACAGCTTAATAATCAATATGTACTTTTCTTCCAGCAATTGAAATTAATTTTAAATTTTTCATATATTTTCTCTGATATTGAATTTATTTTATGACTTGCTATTTTGTTTATTAATAATTTACCATCCAAGGAATTTGCATGAATTGCATGTTAAGTAGTTAGTTGATTTATTATTGTATATTGTGAGCTGATTTGGAACGAGTGTACTATGCCCACCCTAACTTAAACCGTCTCAGTGGTTTACCGTAATTAATAATCTATTTGCGGAATTTAAACGAGAATTTTTGAATTTTAGTAAATACTAGAGTCAGTGCATCGCGTGTGGAAATAATAGCTTCATCTCTAGTTCGTTTATTATTGAATATTTTTACGCGTTTAACTTATGCTTCTCCCCAATTCTCGTCGCGTATTTTATTCAAATTTTCTTATATTCTAGAATCGAAAAAGATACGAATTGGCGTTCCTTCTTTTGATTCTTTCAATTTTTCACTCTCGTTCTACGAAAGTTTAGTACAATAATAATATTGAAAATAATATAAATTCGCGTGGATGTAGGCCGACCCTACATTTTACTGACACTTGTCGAATCGACCCTACATTTTTTTTTTTTACGTGGAGGTAGGCCGACTCTATGTGATAAACAATTGGCAACCAAACGGTGCCTCGCTAGAGCGATATAATATGAAATTAAATTAATCAGTCAATAAGTTTTAACGTTAGATTGTTTCTTTGATATGGCCATGGTGGTCATCAGTGACTGGAGTGCCTCAAATGTTTAGAATAATTAAAATAAAATAAATGTTGTCAACTAAAAATTTTGAACGTCATAGCTAGCTAGACATTATTTTCAATTGAAAAAAAAAAATTATAAAGCATAATACTATAATCCTATGCTTAAAATGTATTTTCTTGTGGCCGCCTGACAGCAACCTGTAAATCTGGCGCGACAGTGAACGTGTTAATAAGTAAATGTTGTTCAAATTATATCGTGTTTGATATCATTTTCATCAGAAAAATCTCACCAACATGATGTTAAATAAAATTCCAGATGAAAAAAAGTAAAATTAAAGAAATTATATTCTTCTATTATGATTTGTTGTGGAGAATATATTGTATTCGTTATCTCGATAGATCGTGTTATTCGTAAGAATGTCGATTCTCCTTCTGATCTGTTCAATCGCTACTCTTACGACTGAAATTGTCCTGAATTTTCCCACGGAGACCAAGAATCTTTCTCTCGAATTCGAAACCGCCTTAACCTTTTAGCTGCGGCTGGACTTTCCGCAGCACTGTGTCTCTATACGGCAGGAAGTAAGAGACTGTTCGTTCCGGAGATTTCTCTGACACGCGTACTCTTCAACGATAGCTTCGATATTGTTAGGGGATGTGGTTCAGGCGAAACTTTCACTGCGACAGTTTTTTTTCTTCTTTCGTATCCTTTCCAAGTTTCTTTTATTCGATTAACGTGAAACTTTACAAAGGATCGAATTAATTTGGAATTATTAACTTCGTGCAGCACAGTGTAAACAAATTTTCAAAGCGTCTGTACACGCAACGAAAGGGTTAAGTCTCGAAATCTCCGGTGCAATTCGAAGTCAGAAGGACAGGAAGGAAGTCAGAACTCGAGAGAGATGCGAATCGCTGTCTCGTTTTCTTCCCGCTCCATCTGATATCGATAGATGAATCGGCTTCGTCGTTTTTTTTGCCCCTTTCACTTTCTTTTCCCGTGTCGTGCAGCAAATTCGCTTATCGCGCTTCGATATCGAAAGAGAAAAAAAAAGAAAGATTCGTAATCTATGCTCCGTGATTCGTAATCTATCGTAGAGGGTGCAGAGTCACGTGCCGGAGAATGAGGCGATGAAAATCAACGAAACTGTGGAGAAAAAACCACGCCAGGAGGAGGATACTACGGACAACTCCGAGGACTCGCTCAGAATGGTACCCGATAGCCCGTATTACAGAGAGAAATCGGACTCGTCGAGCCAAGTGCGGGAGTTACTCTTCGTTATTTTTTTTCTATCGTTTTCTTATTTTCTTATTACCGTTATTACGAGGAGAGGATACGAATATGGGATACCTACTTTTTTCTGTTTTACCCAAGGAGTCTCAGAATAGCTATAAATACAAAAGAATCCGAGGAATAATTTTGATACAAGGGATATTTTAACCCTTTAACGCTTACACGTGCACAATTAATTCTCGAAAAAGTGCAATTTTACTTTTATTTTCTTTCACTTCCCATACTGCGCTATCCTTTCTATTTTATGGTAAACATTGAGTCACAGCGTTGTAAATAAATGGGAAACTTATTTCTATACGCCTAGGAAATAATTGAAGAAAAAATGAAATCGATCGCTTTTGGCACCTCGAGTTGAGAAAAATTTGAGAGTTAAGGGGTTAAAAGAGAGTACTTAGGTGTTGCGCTTTCCTTTCTATTTTATGGTATTTTCCCGTGTCGTGCAGCAAATCCGCTTATCGCGCTCCGATGTCGAAAGAGAAAAAAAAAAAAGACAGATTCGTAATCTATGCTCCGTGATTCGTAATCTATCGTAGAGGGGGCAGAGTCACGTGCCGAAGGATGAGGCGATGAAAATCAACGAAACTGTGGAGAAAAAACCGTGCGAGGAGGAGGATACTACGGACAACTCCAAGGACGCGCCCAAATTGGTACCCGATAGCCCGCATTACAGCGAGAAATCGGGCCCGTCGAGACAAGTGCGGGGGTTACTCTTCGTTATTTTTTTTTTTTTCTATCGTTACACTGCTGTCTGCCTCTATTTTCCTTTCTTTTCATTATTATTATTATTGTTATTACGAGGAGAGGATACCTACGAATATGGGATACCTACTTCTTTCTGTTTTACCCAAGGAGTCTCAGAATAGCTATAAACACAAAAGAATCCAAGGAATAATTTTGATACAAGAGATATTTTAACCCTTTAACGCTTACACGTGCACAATTAATTCTCGAAAAAGTGCAATTTTGTTTTTATTTTCTTTCACTTCCCATACTGCGCTATCCTTTCTATTTTATGGTAAACATTGAGTCACAGCGTTGTAAATAAATGGGAAACTTATTTCTATACGCCTAGGAAATAATTGAAGAAAAAATGAAATCGATCGCTTTTGGCACCTCGAGTTGAGAAAAATTTGAGAGTTAAGGGGTTAAAAGAGAGTACTTAGGTGTGCCTTTGGTTTATGCTAGGACAATCCTGTATTAGAGGGGTGCAGTGAAACGGTTCAATATTCGATGACAAATTGAAAATTCGAGTATTCAGAGTGGCCGGTGAATTTTCAGAATCTACCAATCCAGGTTTACCACTGCGGTCCCCGTGTGGCGAGACCACGCACGAGGCCACAGTCGAGGAGAGGCGTTGCGGATAATATGGTCGACACTTTTGCGCTTAACGATGCATACGCAACGAATGCGAACGAATATGGCAACAGGTAAACGCGGTGTCGTTTCCCGTTTCCTTCGAAATTTCTTCCTTCTCTCGGATACCTTCGCTCCTTCACCGATAATCTCTTCCCCGTTAATCTCTACCTTAATTCATTCGATAAAACGAATTTTGAAAATTGGTCCAACATCTACCTTTTTCAACGAGTGTTACGTATCAAAAATTTGCCGCAGCGAAAGGGTTAACACATGTGACAGGGATCGTTAGATACGTGACAATCAGAATATTTGTACCTGAACAGTTCACGCGGAGGATGGATCTACTCGTTTCGTTTTCTTTTCACAGCTCGGAACAGTTCATCATAGAGTGTCCCACACCGAGAGATTCGCCAGTGTACAACATGAACTTACAGAAGCGTGGCAAATGCGTGATATTCAACCAAAAACTGTTCGAAGAGGGTAACGGCGAACCACGAATAGGTACCGAGCACGACGTCAACGCGATCTCCTCCACTTTTGGGGCACTTGGCTTCGAGATAGAGGTGCACACAGATCTCTATTGGTACGAGGTCAACGATGAGATCGATAAGTGTACGTGTCTATTAGTTCCTTTTAATCTTCTTCTTTTTTCTTTTTTACAAACTAATATATGTATATATTAATATAAAATTTCATCGAAATTGTATGATGCAGAAGCAAGCGACAGGCATGGAAAGATGTATGAATCTTTAGATTTACTACAATTATAGACCGATAGTCGTGGAAAACAGTGATATGTGAAAATTGTTTAAAAATTGTGAAATTTTTAACAGTTTGTAACTCATAGCAATGTTAACCAATTTCGATGAAATTTTCAGCGTGTATATAATCCATATATTATCTACAAAACGTGTGTTTTAAATTTTCACGTGATTCCTACAAATTGCAATTTTTTCCAAATTTTTTTTTCACGTCGTCTAGTAAACTAATCCTTCTAACTTCTCGAAAAACTCAAGTCGTTTTGTCCAATTTGAAAAAAGTTACACTTGTTCTAAAGGTGGCCGGAAATTAATGACTTTTGGAGATAAGTGGAGATAAGAGAGTATACGAAAGAGTGAGATACGTTGGAATGTGTTCACAGTAAGTCAAGACAACCACAAAGATTGTGACTGCATCTGTATCTTCATACTGACCCACGGTGAAAGAGGAGGAAGATTGTATGCCAAAGACGCGTCCTATCCGTTCTTAGCTATCTGGAGGCCTTTCACAGCAGACAATTGCCCCTCGTTGTTTGGTAAACCGAAGTTGTTCTTCATACAGGTGAATCAACAACAATCGTCGTTATTTATGTATTTGAAGGGAGGTAAGAGTGTGATAGAGGATATGCGGGAAAGGAAAGGTTAAGGGCGTTTCGTCCTGGGCCTCCTAGTGGACTCGTCAGTAAGGCTTTCTAGGAAACGCGCAGAATAGGCGGGAAAAGAAAGGGTTAAGGGCGTTTCGTCCTGGGCCTCCTAGTGGACTCGTCAGTAAGGCTTTCTAGGAAACGCGGGAGGGACTGGAAGGACTCAAGTCAGAAGGTGTATATATACAAGTAGGAGCCTTTATGAGGACTAGCGAGAACTTGTGGTTAGTCCGTCCCTCTGGTGGCAGAGCGTAAGAGGCTCGCTACATATTTATTTGAAGGACCTGATTTACGTCTCTGTCGATCCTTGCTTTATCTCTTATCACCCTCGAAGGTGATGCATAATCGATCGAAATCGATGCATAATCAGAAGAAATGATAAATTTCAGTTTCTTTAGACTTTTCACGTTTAGTTAGACACAAATAAGAAATTAGTGATAATCTGGATTGTAATCTTGGTCAGATTATTCGAAGAATTTCGATCGTTTTAACCAGAAAAAATCGTTGTGTCGTTTAGGCTTGCAAGGGTGGCAGGTATGACAATCCTGTGCAAGGAAGAAGCGCGATAGATCACTCTGGCGATTCGGATTATGCGATTCCCTCGCAGGCAGACTTCCTGTTCGGCTACAGTGCCATGGAAGGTAAGGAAAAATCATTCTTCTTATTCTTTTTTCTAATCGAATAGCGCTAGGTGTGTAAGAAAAAACATTAACCCTTTAACCTATGATTTTTTCCCGACTATCGATCTTTCAATCATGTCTCATGAGACTGTGGAACTTGCGGATTTGCTCTAATCGAGATTTTTACGTGAAAGTGAACCATCTTGAGTGGAGGTCCTGTTAACGAATTTCTGTACAATTTGTGAGTGAGATCGTTTCACTATCGTGGAAAAAAAGAGAAAGAAATTGAAAACAGACAGAAACGGCGCTAATCTCACGTGTAACATCTGGAATCCAGTTGCTCTATAGACAAAGTAACCGTGTATTTTCTACGTTTAAAGATTTCTACGCGGTTCGTGACGAAGGGAAAGGCTCATGGTACATTCAGGCTCTGTGCGATGTAATCAAAGAACACTGGCAGAGCCACGATCTCGTGAGAATGTTAACGATCACGTCACGCAAGGTCGCCATCGAGAAAGAAACCGTGGAATCTAAGTACTGGTCAAGCGGCATGAAACAAATGCCCAACATGTCGTCGACACTTACCAGAGATATTTATTTCACACCAAAGGCCAAGTAATTTTTCGAAATTCTAAATCTCTGAAAAAAAGAAATCTATCTGTTAACAATAATTGGAAAAAATTCCAAGAAAAAAGAGTACAAACCAGTCATATCCGCTTTATACGAACGCTTCATCCGCTAAACCGCGATACGCGAAGCCGCAGTGAAAGAAAAAAACAACGTATCTTATCGTTCGAGGCCACGATAGTGTTCGTTATATATTGTAATTACTAAAAAATTTTGCTTCAAGTTGCACGAAATCAAAAGACAACGAAGAAAAGAGAAGGACGAACGAAAATTAGTGAGAATTAGAAAGGTACACTCTTGGCTCTATGCGTATAAAATCTGAACCGAAAAATGTCAAATTCTTTCATTTCATGTTGAAAAAAATTCTCTTTTCGACATTTTCACCGAACACGACCGTTTGGAGGTAACACGAAACAAAGGTAAAGTTGATTATGTGCAGGATTTTTGTTCAATTTTTTATAAAAAAAATAGACTGCAAGAAATAGAATAAAATTTGCACACTTCGTGGCTCGATGCGGTGGCACTTTTCAATGTCGAATACTAACGCGTGGTATTCAAACGGTTAACCCTTTCGCTACGGCAAATTTTAGTACATAACGTGCGTGGCAGATTCAGATGTTCCAAAACGGCCGCAAAATTCTCTTTCTTGACCGTATCGTTTAAAAATTTCTTTTATTAAATTAATGTGGAAGAGTGCAGGGGACAAAATTAATGGAAGTGCGCCAAAAGGCTCCAATAACACAGGAAATGGTTAAAGCAGCGGCACCGATTCTATTCGTCGTTTGATCCTGTATCGATTCCACCGGCTGTACGCCGCGAGAATACGCGCGTGCATCGTGAGAAGATGCGACTGATGGGGGGTAGTGGCTGTGAACGCGTGGAGGGGGAAGCGGCCTTGAGCGACTGACTGATTTCGCGCAGGCTCTAGCCTCTCGCG